TCGGACGCTCGCACGGGCCGGCACCTGGCCACCTTTACGCGTTGGCCGGGGTCGAGCCTCTACACCCTGACCACTGGGTCCCCTCCTGTCCCTGCTTCTGGCCAGGTAGCTGCGTCGGGTCAGGTGTTTGCTGCAGCGTCCAGGTCTGGTCCTGAGTCTGCCCCCTGCTCGTGTCGCCTCCTGTCTCACGAGACTCTCCTGTGGCACCACCGTCTTGGTCACCCCTCCCTGCCTCGTCTCTGAGGCATGGCTTCCCGTGTCCTTGTCTCTGGTCTCCCCTGGTCCCTCCCTCCCCTTCCTCCAGGGCCTGGTCCTTCCTCTATTCCCTGTGTCGAGGGGCGGCTCCGGGCAGCCCCTCACTCCTCTCAGTTTCCCCCGACAGAGGCCCCGCTGCAGACGCTTCACATGGACGTGTGGAGCCCGGCCCGCGTTCGTGGACAAGGTCACGAGCGCTACTTCCTGCTGGTGGTTGACGACTACTCGCGTTACACCTCAGTCTTCCCCTTGCGCACCAAGGGTGATGTCACTGAGGTGTTGATCGACTGGATCCGCGCAGCTCGTCTCCATCTCAGGAGGAGCTTCGGCTCGGAATTTCTTGTTCCGCGTCTGCACTCTGACCGAGGCGGAGAGTTCTCCTCTTGCCTTGTGCGAGCCTACTGTCGTGCGCAAGGCATCCACCAGACCTTTACGCTTCCGGGCTCTCCACAGCAAAATGGGATTGCTGAGCGCCGCATTGGCATGGTCATGGACGTCGCTCATACGTCCATGATGCATGCGGCTGCCCCCCATTTTCTGTGGCCGTTTGCGGTTCGGTACGCGGCGCATCAGATCAACCTTCACCCCAGGGTCTCAGGCCGGAGACCTCCCCAGCCTTGCTGTGGACGGGGAAGGTCGGCGATGCGTCTGCGTTCCGTGTCTGGGGATCTCGGGCGTTTGTCCGCGACTTGTCTACGGACAAGCTGTCCCCTCGTGCTGCTCCCTGTGTCTTCCTTGGCTTCCCCCCTGACGCCCCTGGGTGGCAGTTCTACCACCCCACCTCTCGTCGTGTTCTGTCCTCCCAGGACGTCACGTTCGACGAGTAAGTCCCCTACTACCGCCTCTTCCCCTACCGCACTCCTTCCCTCCCCCCGCCACCGCACTTCCTTGTGCCAGGTCCCCCCCCGGTAGACCCCCTCCCCCCTCAAGGTCCTGCCCCTTCAGGTGTGTCCCAGGTAGACGCAGTCGAGCCGATCGAGGTTGCTGGTGACTCTGGTACTACTGCGGATGCTGAGCCTGGGGGTGCTGACTGTGGGGGTGCTGCGCGCGTGGGTGCTGAGCCTGGGGGTGCTGAGTCTGGGGGTGCTGCGACTGGGGGTGCTGAGCCTGGGGGTGCTACGACTGGGGGTGCTGAGCCTGGGGGTACTGCGACTGGGGGTGCTGAGCCCGGGGGTGCTACGACTGGAGGTGCTCGTCCTGGGAGTGCTGGAGCTGCTGGGCCTGCGGGTTCGCCTGGAGCTGGAGCTGCTGAGGGTGTTGGCGCTGAGGCTACTGCTGTCAGTCCTGGAGACGGTTCTGCTAGGGATGCTGCTGGTGCTGTTGGAGGTGCTGCTGGCTCTCGTCCTGCTGCGGGTGCTGCTGGTCCTGCTGGAGGTCCTGCAGCTGGCGGTGGTGTTGGCGCTGGTGCTGTCCCTGCTGTGTGTGGAGTCGCCACGTGGCCTCGGCCGTACTTCGTTCCGCTCCTTCAGCAGGTTCTTGGTCTTCCTCCTCCCTTACAGTGTCCACCGCTTGTCCAGTCCCAGTCACAGCTTCCGCCGGCCTCCCCACTGCCTGCTCCTTCTCCCCACACTGGTCCTACTGGAGGTCTTGCTGAGCGTCGTGAGCCTGCGTCTCGTCCTGCGTCGCCTGTTCGTGCTGCTCGCACTACTGGTCGCGGTTCGCGTCAGCGTCCTCCTCTTGTCCCTGGCATGCACCAGATGTCTCTGCGTCCGTCCACTTCTCCTCTGCGTGCCCCTTTGCCTTCTCCTCCTGAGTCCTCTCTTCCTGCACTTGCCGACCCAAAGTCGGACTCTCTTCGTGCTGCCAGTTCTACTGTCACGCGTCTCCTTGCTACTGTTGTCACTGACCCCTCCTTTGAGTCCACTGCTGCGTCTGCTCTTGTTGCCGAGCTCGTCGACTTTGCTGCTCGCTGTCGTCTAGACTACGCTGCTAGTCTTGTTGCTGAGTCTGCGTCTGTCTGTCCTCCGTCCGTCGGGGGTGAGTGTGCCCTTGGCACGGACGTCCTTGAGGACAGGCACGAGGAGTTCCAGTGTCTGGCTGCTGCTTCACCTCATCTCGTGTCCGTATTGCTTACCCCTGAGGGAGACCCTGATGCACTTGACATCCCGACTCGGCGCTCTTACGCGGAGGCCGTAGAGGGTCCCTACTCCTTTCAGTGGCAGGCAGCTATGGATGCAGAGATGGCTTCCTGGAAGTCCACAGGTACCTACGTTGACGCGGTTCCTCCTCCTGGGGCGAACATCGTCAGTGGCATGCGGATCTTCAGGGTGAAGCGGCTGCCGGGCTCTCCACCTGTCTTCAAGGCGCGGTACGTGGCTCGTGGCTTCAGTCAGCGGCAGGGAGTTGACTGCTTTCAGACCTTCTCTCCCACCCCGAAGATGACCACTCTTCGGGTGCTGCTACACATAGCCGCTCAGCGTGACTACGAGCTTCACTCCCTTCACTTCAGCACTGCTTTCCCGCAGGGTAGCCTGCACGAGGAGATCTGGCTGCGCCGTCCACCTGGCTTCACTGGGACTTTCCCTCCTGGCACCCAGTGGAGCCTCCGACGGCCAGTCTACGGTCTCCGCCAGGCACCGCGCGAGTAGCACAACACACTGAGGACTACCGTTGCGGCTCTTGGGTTTGCTCCCTCTACTGCTGACCCGTCGTTGTTTCTACGCACCGACACCTCTCTGCCGCCGTTCTACATCCTCGTGTACGTCGACGAATTTGTCTTTGCCACAGCTGACACTGCTGGACTCGCCCACGTGAAGTCGGAGCTGCAGAAGAGACACACGTGCACACACCTGGGTGAACTGCGCAGCTACCTTGGCTTGCAGATCACCCGGGACAGAGCACGCCGCACCATTACCTTGACTCAGTCACACATGGTGCAGCAGGTCCTTCAGCGCTTCGGCTTCACGTACTCCTCGCCTCAGGCCACTCCTCTGTCTACTCGCCACTCGCTCTCAGCTCTGCCTTCGGATGAGTCCGTAGAGTCGAGTGGCCCGTACCCAGAGCTTGTTGGCTGCCTCATGTACCTGATGACCTGCACACGACCTGACCTTGCATACCCTCTTAGCATTCTTGCACGCTATGTTGCTCCTGGGAGACACAGACCAGAGCACATGGCTGCAGCGAAGAGGGTGATGCGCTACTTGTGCAGTACGTCGGGCATGGGGCTAGTGCTTGGAGGGCGGAGTCCAGTGGTCCTCACTGGGCACGCGGACGCTTCTTGGGCTGACGACTAGGCTATGCAGCGGTCGTCACAGGGTTACACCTTCAGTCTTGGTTCCGGCTCTGTTTCGTGGCGGGCTACTCGCTCGTCTTCTGTTCTCGGCTCCAGTTGTGAGGCTGAGATCTACGCCGGGGCCATGGCTGCACAGGAGCTTCGCTGACTCACCTACCTGCTGACTGACCTAGGAGAGCCGCCTCGTTCTCCTCCAGTGCTGTACGTAGACAACAAGGCCATGCTGGCCTTGTGTCGGGAGCAGCGCCTGGAGCACAGAACGAAGCACATTGCTCTCCGCTACTTTCTTGTTCGTGAGTTGCAGCAGCGTGGTCAGTTGCGACTTGCGTTCGTGGCCTCTGAGGCCAACACTGCTGATGTTTTCACCAAGGCACTTCCGCCTTGTGATCATCAGCGCTTCTGCACTCAGCTGGGTCTTGTGCCTGTCTTGCCTCAATTGCTCACCCCTTGACCTTGCTTGTACTCTTACATATATATATACATGCTCTTGCTTGTTTAGCCTTATATATATGTGTGTACTCCTGCATGTGAACTGGCCTTGTTGCCTTGACCTTGTGCTCGGACTGTGTGATGACATTGTGATCCACCTTGAGCTTTGTCTGCTTTGCTTGAATGGTCTTGTGACCCCTTGTTCTCCCCCACTTTGCCTATGGGGGTGTGTCAAATTATAATATTGTGTAGGCTATAGTGAGGTAGCCTATATGGGGTACACATTTCTAGGGTTGCATATTTGTATCACTTCCATTCCTTAGTCATTCCATTCTCGTTCTACTTTCCTCAGACCCGGCCGGGCCAGCAGTGCGAGGTTTGGTGAAACAGTGCGCGCGAAGTCGGTGAAGCCCCGTTAGCAGTAACGGGCGAACAACGGCTGCTGCTGTACGCGATGTTGCAGGGCGCGCTAAGGAATATCGAGAAAATTCCTCACATCGTGCTACACTTGACCTAGTTTGAGTAAGCATACTATAGGGCAACTGCAGTCATGCACTTCATTGATACCAAAAAAAAAAAAAAAAAAAAAAAAAAAAAAACAGAGAAATTTCCCAAATATGTTTTATCTACATAGCATCCTTCACCCTTCACCCCTACCACTGAACGATAAGCCACCGAAGCCGAAAAAGGAGGAAGCTGTGGGGTTTGCGGCAACAGCAGCAGCACCTGCAGCGCTGCCAGCAGCGGCAAACGATCGCAGAGTACCAAGAATTGCACCCTCGCCCCTCTCTGCTGCTGCAGCAGCTGCTGCTTCGGATGTCAGGTCTGGAAGGTTGAACCGCCGAGAGAGCTGCATTGAGGTGGGTGTAAGATGGTGGCGGGAGGTTGTGGGAGTGGATGGAAGTGAAGGTGGAAGTGATGGTGGAGAGGGTATAGGACGAGGGTGAAAATGTGAAGTGGCAGAGTGTATAAGAGTAAGAACAAGAACATTCATCAAAACCTCCTCTCACTCCCTAACCTTCTCACCACCTCTCCCAATCATCCAAAATGCATCTTGCCTCGTCCCTCTCGTTCACACTCCCAATCATGTCAGATTGTATTTAGCTGCTCCAAGCACCGCCCCTTGCTCCACACACGCCTCGACAAACACTTGCATGCACACCCGCTCATCTTCCCGCCCTCTTTTCGAGTCTACTTCCATCCCCTGCCCCTCACTTCTCACCTCTTCCCTTTCTCCTGCGTCGCCAATCCTGCCGACATATTTAGCAGCCTCCATCACAGCGCCTTGCTCCACACACGCCTTCACAAAGGCCCCTAGGCCCACCCGTTCACCTGCCCACCCTGCACCCAACCCAACCCAATCCTTTCTCACCTCTTCCCTTTCACCCGCGTCCCCAATCCTCCCAACGTATTTAGTAGCCTCCACCACGGCGCCTTGCTCCACACACGCCTCCACAAACGCCCTCAACCCCACCCACTCACCACAAACTCCCCTGCACCCAACTCAACCCCTGCTCACCTCTTCCCTCTCGCCCGCATCTCCAATCCTCCCAACGTATTTAGCAGCCTCCACCACGGCGCCTTGCTCCACACATGCTTCCACAAACACTCACATGCACATCCGCTCACCACAACCTCCCCTGCACCCAACCCAACCCCTTCTCACCTCTTCCCTTTCGCCCGCATCTGCAATCCTGCCGACATACTTAGCAGCCTCCACCACAGCGCCTTGCTCCACACACGCCTCCACAAACGCCCGCAGCCCCACCAGAGGCCGTCGCTCCTTGAACAGCTTTTCCAGCCCCTCCCAGTCTCTTAGGCGCGCCAGAGCCTGCAGTCTCAGCCAATAATAGCGTCTCTCTGGTACCTGCTTATCAAGGGTACAAAATGCAGATGATGGGATAGGGGTAGGGATACCAGCTGGCCCACCAGAGGCCGTCGCTCCTTGAACAGCTTTTCCCGCCCCTCCCAATCCCTTAGGCGCGCCAATCCCAACATCGTTGAACAGCTTATCCAGCCCCTCCCAGTCCCTAATTCGAGCCAGGGCCTGCAGTCTCAGCCAGTAGTAGCGTCGTTCCGGAACCTGCTTATATGGGGTATGAAATGAAGTGCAGGCCATGGGAGGAGTGGGTTTAGGGTTTAGGGTTGTAGCAGCCCCACCAGAGGCCGTCGCTCCTTGAACAGCTTTTCCAGCCCCTCCCAGTCCCTCAGGCGAGCTAAGGCCTGCAGTCTCAGCCAATAGTAGCGCCTCTCCGGTACCTGCGTATAAAGGGTACAGAATGTAGACGACAGATGATACAGGTAGTTGTTGGAAGGGGGTAGGGAGGTACCAGCAGCCCCACCAGAGGGGGTAGGGAGGTACCAGCAGCCCCACCAGAGGGGGTAGGGAGGTACCAGCAGCCCCACCAGAGGGGGTAGGGAGGTACCAGCAGCCCCACCAGAGGGGGTAGGGAGGTACCAGCAGCCCCACCAGAGGGCGCCACTCCTGGAACCAGTTCTTTGAGATAGAATAGGTCGACTTGAAATCAGGTCCCACCTTGAAAGCACGTCTCACCTTGAAAGCACGTCTCACCTTGAAAGCACGTCTCACCTTGAAAGCACGTCTCACCTTGAAAGCACGTCTCACCTTGAAAGCACGTCTCACCTTGAAATCGCCCTTCAGCTTCTGCGCTTCCCTGTGGTTCCCCGCAGCCAGGCAAGCAGCAATCGTCTCGTTCACACTCGCTCCCACCACACTCCTCCTCCTGCCCTCCTCCTCCCCAATCCCCCCACCTTCCCCTGCACCAGTGGCAGTGGCAGTGGTGGTGGGTGGGGGAGGCTGCATCCCTGCTGCATCCAACTGCTGCTGAAAGCTGTGCAAGGGAGAGAAGGGCGTGGGACAGAGAGAGGAAAGTGGAATCAGAAACCTTCCCTGCACCAGTGGTAGTGGCAGTTGCAGTGGCAGTGGTGGTGGGTGGGGCCAGGTGCATCCCTGCTGCCTCCAGCTGCTGCTGAAAACTGGGTGAGAGAGGGAAGAGAGACGGGCGCGGTTCACGCAAGGAGGGACGAAGAGGAAGGAGATTGTATATGCGGCCTTCTGTGCAACGATGCACCACTGCCTTCTGTGCAACGATGCACCACTGCCTTCTGTGCAACGATGCACCACTGCCTTCTGTGCAACGATGCACTACTGCCTTCTGTGCAACGATGCACCACTGCCTTCTGTGCAACGATGCACCACTGCCTTCTGTGCAACGATGCACCACTGCCTTCTGTGCAACGATGCACCACTGCCTTCTGTGCAACGATGCACCACTGCCTTCTGTGCAACGATGCACCACTGCCTTCTGTGCAACGATGCACCACTGCCTTCTGTGCAACGATGCACCACTGCCTTCTGTGCAACGATGCACCACTGCCTTCTGTGCAACGATGCACCACTGCCTTCTGTGCAACGATGCACCACTGCCTTCTGTGCAACGATGCACCACTGCCTTCTGTGCAACGATGCACCACTGCCTTCTGTGCAACGATGCACCACTGCCTTCTGTGCAACGATGCACCACTGCCTTCTGTGCAACGATGCACCACTGCCTTCTGTGCAACGATGCACCACTGCCTTCTGTGCAACGATGCACCACTGCCTTCTGTGCAACGATGCACCACTGCCTTCTGTGCAACGATGCACCACTGCCTTCTGTGCAACGATGCACCACTGCCTTCTGTGCAACGATGCACCACTGCCTTCTGTGCAACGATGCACCACTGCCTTCTGTGCAACGATGCACCACTGCCTTCTGTGCAACGATGCACCACTGCCTTCTGTGCAACGATGCACCACTGCCTTCTGTGCAACGATGCACCACTGCCTTCTGTGCAACGATGCACCACTGCCTTCTGTGCAACGATGCACCACTGCCTTCTGTGCAACGATGCACCACTGCCTTCTGTGCAACGATGCACCACTGCCTTCTGTGCAACGATGCACCACTGCCTTCTGTGCAACGATGCACCACTGCCTTCTGTGCAACGATGCACCACTGCCTTCTGTGCAACGATGCACCACTGCCTTCTGTGCAACGATGCACCACTGCCTTCTGTGCAACGATGCACCACTGCCTTCTGTGCAACGATGCACCACTGCCTTCTGTGCAACGATGCACCACTGCCTTCTGTGCAACGATGCACCACTGCCTTCTGTGCAACGATGCACCACTGCCTTCTGTGCAACGATGCACCACTGCCTTCTGTGCAACGATGCACCACTGCCTTCTGTGCAACGATGCACCACTGCCTTCTGTGCAACGATGCACCACTGCCTTCTGTGCAACGATGCACCACTGCCTTCTGTGCAACGATGCACCACTGCCTTCTGTGCAACGATGCACCACTGCCTTCTGTGCAACGATGCACCACTGCCTTCTGTGCAACGATGCACCACTGCCTTCTGTGCAACGATGCACCACTGCCTTCTGTGCAACGATGCACCACTGCCTTCTGTGCAACGATGCACCACTGCCTTCTGTGCAACGATGCACCACTGCCTTCTGTGCAACGATGCACCACTGCCTTCTGTGCAACGATGCACCACTGCCTTCTGTGCAACGATGCACCACTGCCTTCTGTGCAACGATGCACCACTGCCTTCTGTGCAACGATGCACCACTGCCTTCTGTGCAACGATGCACCACTGCCAACCTCTGGAAACAGCTAGCAGGTGGGCAGCAACTGGCAGTGTTCAGTGTGCTCAAGACATGTCCGTGCTTGATGTAGCTGCTGCTCAGCATCAGCATCAGCATCAGCATCAGCATCAGCATCAGCATCACCCCCACTCCCACCCACAACACCACGAAACACCCCACACGTACCGCAGAAGCTTCACAGAATCTTCCACTGCTTTTGCCTGAAACCCGTGGTCTCTGGTCCGTGAGAGCAGCTCTGCTGCTGCTTCGAGCTCCCTCACCCTCTCGGCTCCCCACCTGTTCAAACCCTCCTGCACCTCCTGCTTCACGATCAGCTCCCTTGCTGCCTCAAGCTCCCTTGCTGCCTCAAGCTCTCTCACCCTCTCTGCCGCCCACCTGTTGCCCCCATCCCGTCCTGCACTCACCGCAGGAGCTTCACGGAATCTTCCACCGCTTTTGACTGAAACCCGTGGTCTCTGGTCCGTGAGAGGAGCTCTGCTGCTGCTTCGAGCTCCCTCACCCTCTCCGCTCCCCACCTATTCAACCCCTCCTGCAATCCCTGCTTCACAATTTGCTCTGCCACACACTGAGATCGACAGGGGTGGGGGATGAGGAAGGGAGAGAGGGCGGGAGAAAGGGAGGGGCGTGGTGGGCAAGAGCAGCCCTGCTGCTGCTTCGAGCTCCCTCACCATCTGTTCCCCCCATCTTGCTATCCCTGTTTCACGATCTGCTCTGCCACACACTGGATGGGCCGAGGGGACGAAAGAGTGGGGAAGGAGGGGAGAGTAATAGGAGGGGAAGAGGGGGGGTTGGATGAGAGCTCTGCTGCTGCTGCCTCCAGCTCCCTCACCCTCTCTGCCGCCCCTACCCCCAACCTGTTTCCGCCCTCTAGAATCCCCTGTTTCACTATCTGCTCAGCCACACACTGTGTGTGACAGGGGGGTGCGGTGAGAAAGGAAGTGCAATAGGCGGTGAGTATATGAAGAAGGTAGGGCAGGTGGTTGCAGGTGCATCACAATTATAACATACCACCTACCATACGACCTGATGAGTTGTCTGACATTGCACCCACCCGACATGCCACCTGCCAGATCACCTGAAACGCCACCTACCACCACCTGAAACGCCAGCTGCCAAATCACCTGAAATGCCACCTGCCAAATCACCTGGTGCATGGAGGAGTGCTCATAGAACCGCATGAGAAGAGGAATGTCGGATTTTCTGGGAAAGAACAGAGAGGGGGAAAGGGGCAAACAGGGGGGGAAAACACATAGTAGGAATTGTTATGCTCACAGAAAAAAACAAATGATGTGATTCAAGGGACAAAAAAAGTTAAAAAAAAAAGGAAACGAACTTGGCACTATGGTAAACAGAAATAATGTTAATACGGGCGTGTTGAGAGAGGGCGCTCACTTGCAGTATGAGATGAAGAGGCTTCGGGCAGTGGGGTGGCTCTTGAGCAGCTCAAACACCTGCTCCTCTGGCGCCTGTGCGGTTGGGTTGGGTTAGATAGGGTTGGGCTGTGCCAGTGGGTCAAGCAATCACCCCCTAGGGCAGTGGAGTGGCTCCTGAGAAGCTCAAACATCTGCTCCTCTGGCGCCTGTGTGGTTGTGTTGGGTTGGGTTGGGTTGAGTTGGGTTGGGTTGGGTTAAGTTGCTCTGCTCGGGAGCACAAACTCGCCACATCGAGAGTTCCGCATACTCGCTTATCACCCTTATCCGCATCTGGCATCCGGCCCACATGCAGCAGCAACCATCCCACACGAGTCAGCCAAACACAAACCTTATCGAGGCACAAGAAAGCTGTTTATAAAGGAGCAGTGAGCTGGTTTTTGAGAATTCTAAAAAAACCAGCTCGTATTATTAAGGAGCAGAGAGCCCCGGATTGAACAGCAAGCAAGCATGCAAGCCAGCAAGCATGCAGAATCGCACCTTATCGAGCAGTTGAAAGAGCACTTGGAGCACGAAATCCGCATCTGGCCCCGCCTCTGCCTTCCACAGTGCCGCCTCAAACGCTCCCATTTCCAAGAGCAGGCGCACCTGCAAAGGGGGAAGGAGAGTGGAAAAAAGGAGGGGAAGGAAGGGAGAAAGAGAAAAAAATCCTGAAGCATTTGAGAAGTAGGATTGGCCCTGTCTAGCCTGTCACTCACCATCACTCACCTGCCACCATGCATCTCATCTCACCTGCCACCATGCATCTCATCTCACCTGCCTCCCCGTGTGAACCTCCCTCTCCAGCAGCCGCGTGGCCAGCTCGTGCCGGCCTGTATGAAATGCCACTGTAGCCACGGCTGCGAAGGATACTGCGAGGCTTCCACGCTTGTCTGTGTCGATCTATAGAGGGTGGTGAAGAGGAGGGAATGGGCCAGTACATAAATGAATAAGTTCATAATTAGGTATCCACAAGGGTGGGCAAACAAGTATGGGAAAACGAGTGGCAAGCGAGGGTGGGAGAACGAGTATGGGTAGACGAGTGTGGGCAAACGAGTGAGGCCAAATTTCGAAGTGAATGGTTCTGCTGCGCTATAAAGTGACTCGCCTGCTTTGTTATGGTGTCGTAGAGCACTTCATCAGGCATTTGCGATGCAGATAGGATCTTGGAGATAGCCCAGTGCTCCAACACACTCTCCTAGTGGGTATCAGCAGAGACAGGGCGGCAAGGGAAGGCAGGAGGGGCGGGGGGGTGAGGAAAAGTAATGAGAAGGGATATTGGAGATCGCCCACTGCTCCAGAACACTCTCCTGGTGGGTACGCGTAAAGAAGAGGGGCAATGCATGAACAAAGGCGAGACATGAAAGGAAGGGAGTGAGAAGGAAAGGTTTGGAGATAGCCCAATGTTCCAACACACTCTTCTCGTGGGTATATGCAGAGACAGAGCTACAAGCGAAGAGGCAAAAATTGAAGTTGCCCAATGTGCCAAGACACTCGCACGGAGAAAGGCACAAGGTGAGGAAAGATGGATGGAAGGGAACGACAAACTGAAGGAGAGAAGATCTCGAAAATGGTGCTAAGCTCCCAAAGATGAGGGAAAAGAGACGGCTGAGAATCTCACACGATTACCATTACCATTACCCATTACCGTTACCCTTACCGTTACCGTTACCATTACCATTACAAATACCATTACCACTACCATTACCATCACAATTACCATTACAATTACCATTACCATTACCATTACCAATTACCCACTACCATTACCCATTACCATTACCATTACCCATTACCCTTACCCTTACCCATTACGTTGCCATCACCCATTACCATTACCGTTACCATTACCATTACCATCACTATCACCATCACCATCACCATCACCATTACCATTACCATTACAAATTACCCATTACCATTACCCATTACCATTACCATTACAATTACAATTACCAATACCATTACCATTACCATTACCATTACCAATTACCAGTTACCATTACCCATTACCCATTACCTTTACCATTATCATTACCATTACCATTACCCATTACCCATTACCATTACCATTACCATTACCGTGCGAAGGCCGAGAAATGCAGCTACGCGAAGAGCGAGCAGATGGTGGTGTGTGGAGCACAGGCGGGCAATGAGACGCGCTGGGGAGAGCTCCTGAGGCGAGAGGCAGAAGAAGAGGGGGATAATAGAGAGTATGAAGCCATGGGCGAGCAGGTGGTGGTGTGTGGAGCACAGGCGGGCGATGAGACGCGCTGGGGAGAGCTCCTGAGGCGAGAGGCAGAAGAAGAGGGGGATAATAGAGAGTATGAAGCCATGGGCGAGCAGGTGGTGGTGTGTGGAGCACAGGCGGGCGATGAGACAAGCCCGTGAGAGCTCCTGAGGAGTGGGGGGGTAGGAGAGAGGCGCGCGCATAGTAAGCATGACTTGATTTGTTTCGAAAGTCAGTTGCCATGGCCGAGCAGGTGGTGGTGTGTGGAGCACAGGAGGGCGATGAGACGAGCTCGGGAGAGCTCCTGAGGGGTGAGCAGGGAGGGAATGAAGGGGGTTTGGCGGGTCAATTGTCATAGGTGGAAATGAGTGCTTGTAAAACTGCACTTTTTATGGCATTTGACTGTTCGTAAGGCACCTTGAAAATGGTCACGGTGGATACATGCCGGAAGGCTGCACTGAGTGCTTTGAGTCGTCTCAAAACACTTCTTTTAGCACCTTGAAAATCGTCACAGAGGATGCACATATGCTTGACTGGCCTGTGCGCGCACCTTGTACTGCGCGTAAATGAGGGGCATGCCAGCTGTCTCCATGGCCCTCACGCCGTTGGTCAGCCCGTCCTCCTATGCCCACTGCACCGCACTCAGCTGAGCACCCTCAAACGCAATAGATGGATGCATGACTGACTGACTGCCCTGTACTCACCTTGTATTGTGCGTACGTGAGCGGCATGCCAGCTGTCTCCATTGCCCTCACGCCATTGGTCAGCCCGTCCTCCTCTGCCCTCCGCACAGCGTTCAACACCCGCAAGTCCTTGCACAGACTCATCATGCGATCGCGAGGAAACTTCCTGGAAAGAAAGAGTAAGGGTGGAGACGAGAGGTGAAATGGATAGTAAGCATACACATGATCAGACCACCAACTGCTGCACTGCCACCCCCACCACCGCCACCCCTATCAGCACATCACCCATCCCATATAATCGTGCTCAATATTTACCATCCTTCCATCCAACCATCCTGCCCATCCCCATCCCCCTCATGTGCTGCAGTGTGCATGCACCCACGCACCGCCTCCCTCATCACAGCCTCCCCCATCACTGCCTCCCTCATCACCGCCTTCCCCATGAGCGCCTCCCCCATCACCGCCTTCCCCATGAGCGCCTCCCCCATCACCGCCTCCCCCATCATCGCCTCCCCCATCACCGCCTCCCCCATCACCGCCTCCCCCATCACCGCCTCCCCCATCACCGCCACCCCCATCGCCCTCACATGCTCGTCCGCCTTCCCCGACCGCCTCTCAAACAGCCCAAACCAAACGCCTCTAGCAGGAGAGCAGGGGGGGCGAAGAGGGGTGGGTGCTGGCGAGAGAAAACACTAGCCTAGGCTATGCTGCTAGCTGGTTAGGCTGCTAGCTCACCTGCAGAATGCCCTGCCAAAGGCAGCAGCAGCGAGCAGCCGCTTCTGCCCATCCACATCCCCCTCATGCGCAGCAGCATGCATGCACCCTCGCACCGCCTCCCCCATCACCGCCACCCCCATCGCCCTCACATGCTCATCCGCCTTCCCCGACCGCCTCTCAAACAGCCCAAACGCCTCTAGGAGGAGAGCCGGGGGTGCGGTGCTGGCGAGAGCAAAGGCAGCTACGGTGGGTTCGGGGACCCGAGAGATGAAATCGGAGTGAGAGGAGGAGAGGAGGCGGACGCCGTCACACTCGGGGATGAGGATTAGGCAGCTGTCGGTGGTGGCGGTGGTGGTATCAAGGGCTGATGCTGGCGCTGGCACACTGTGGTGTGTGGGGGCCAGGGGAAGGAGAAAAGGGGAGGTAATGGGAACAAAGCGAGTGAAACGCCTCTAGAAGCAGAGCAGGGGGTGCGGTGCTGGCGAGAGCAAAGGCGGCTACAGTGGTTCGGGAACCCGAGAGATGAAGTCGGAGTGGGAGGAGGAGAGCAGACGGACGCCGTCACACTTGGGGATGAGGATTAGGCAGCTGTCGGTGGTGGTGGTGGTGGTGTCAAGCGCTGATGCTGGCGCTGGCACACTGTGGTGTCGAGAGGGGAAGCAGAAGGGGTGGGGAAAAAGTAGAGGAGGTAATGGGTCAAACAAAACAGGCGAAAGTGTAAGGGAAGAGTGAATGGCATGTCACTCGTAAAAGAGAAAGAAGTGATTTCTGCAAACTTCAAAGAGCATGGAGGAATGGGCTCAATTCCGAGGCTGGAACACTGAGAAAAACAGGAAAAGGAGGAGTGTGTGGTGATAATGGGAAAACCACAAGCGTTGAACCAGAAGGGTAGGGGAAGGAGACGGGCCATGCACGCAGCACACTTGACATGCATGCAAGTGGGTGAAAGTAGATTTGATTTGAGACAATCAATTCAACCAGTACACACCTGCGAAGAGCTGCCGAGCCGAACGCGCGGCGCCTACTCAATTCCCCTCCTGCCTCTCGCTCTATCTCCCCATCTTCCTCCTCCCCCTCCACCTCCTCCTCCTCGTCGTCCTCTTCCCCTCCTAATGAGTATTTGATGGCATCCCCAGGGCCGACGAGCATGAGGGCAGTGGGGTGCTGCCAGGAGAGGAGAACCGCATCCTCGCCACACCATGCCATGGCATCTGGTGGTAGCACTATCTGCACACAAGCAGTGGGCACATGGGCGGTCAGGGCAGGGCAGAGAGCACTTGATGGCATGCCCAGGGTCCATAAGCATAAGTACAGGGGAGTGCTGCCTGGTGAGCAGCACCGTGTCCTCTCCACACCATGCCATGGCGTGTGGTGGTAGCACGATCTGCAGCAGGGGATGGTGGGGAAAGGAGGTGAGGGAGGGGAGGGTGTGCATGTGAGCATGAGGTCAGCGGGGTGCTGCCAGGAGAGGAGCACCGCGTCCTCGCCACACCATGCCATGGCGTCTGGTAACACGATCTGCAGGAGGGAGAGGGGAGAGAGTATCTGTGTGTGGATGAGGCCCGAGCGGGGGGGTGCTGCCAGGAGAGCAGCACCGCGTCCTCGCCACACCATGCCAAGGCGTCTGGTCTGGTGGTAGCACAATCTGCACACATGGAGTGGAGGTATGGAGGCACGGGAGAAAGGAGGGTTGCGTGGGCAGGGCAGGGCAGGGCAGGGCAGGGCAGGGCAGGGCAGGGCAGGGCAGGGCAGGGCAGGGCAGGGCAGGGCAGGGCAGGGCAGGGCAGGGCAGGGCAGGGCAGGGCAGGGCAGGGCAGGGCAGGGCAGGGCAGGGCAGGGCAGGGCAGGGCAGGGCAGGGCAGGGCAGGGCAGGGCAGGGCAGGGCAGGGCAGGGCAGAGCAGGGCAGGGCAGGGCAGGGCAGGGCAGGGCAGGGCAGGGCAGGGCAGGGCAGGGAGTGCTTGATGGCGTGCCCAGGCAGGCCCGCCAGCACGAGGGCAGGGGGGGGGGGTGCTGAGAGAGAGGAGACCCGCGCCTTTCTGGCAAGGGTGCTGCCCTCTTTTGAGGCACCTCGAAAGAAGTGCTTCTAGCCATTTGAGTCTATTTACCCCATCTCCCACCTGAGTGCCATAGAGGGAGGGGGATCCGCCTGGGGAGGTATGGTGTCAGACTGACCCACCCAGGTTTTTGTAACCATTGGATTCTATTTACCCCATCCCATCCCCCACCCAAGTGTCGTAGTGGGAGATCCGCCTGGAGAGGTCTGACGTCAAGCTACTCCTATGGGGTACTCACCCAAGTGTTACTAACAATTCGGGTCTATTTACCCCACCTCCCACCTGGGTGTCATAGAGGGCGATCCGCCTGGAGAGGTATGGTGTCAGACTGACCCACCCAGGTATTTGTAACCACTCAGGTGTCAGAATGGATTCAATCTACCCCTTCCCCCCACCTGGGTGTCGTAGTGGGAGATCCGCCTGGAGAGGTCTAACGTCAAGCTACCCTCTATGGGTGTAATCACCCAAGTGTCACTAACAATTCGGGTCTATTTACCCCTTCTCTGACCTGAGTGTCATAGTGGGAGATCCGCCTGGAGAGGTCTGACGTCAGCAGCACATGCAGCTGACCATCCGCCGTGAAGCACGCCAGAAGCTTCCCGGAAGCTGACACTGCCATGCGCTGCACTGTTGTGGTCATCTCTGGGGCACCCTGGGAGCAGTTGGGAGGAGGTGAAGGGGGGGGAGGTGCGGAGGGAGGATGGCAGAGGCGAGGGAGAAGAGGGGAGGTACGAATGGGGAAGGTATGCTCTGCACTGCTGTGGACATCTCTGGGGAACCCTGCGGGCAGTTTGAGAGGGGGTGAGGGGGGGGAGGTGAGTGGGGGGAGGTGACGGGGGGGAGGTGAGGGAGAAGTAGAGGGGAGGGGAGAATGGGAACAATGCGCGCTGCACCGTTGGCCCATGCGCTGCACTGCTTTGGACATCTCTGGGGCACCCTGTGGGCAGTTGAAGGGAGGTGAGGGGGGGAGGTGAAGGGGGGAGGTGAGGGGGGGGAGTTGAGGGGTGGGAGATGAGGGGGGGGGGGGAGGTGAGGGTGGGGGGAGATGAGGGGGGGAAGGTAAGGTGGGGGGGGAAGGAGGTGAGGGAGGGGAGAATGGGGAATGATGCGCGCTGCACCGTCGCCCCATCCATGCATGTGCAGCAGAGCAGCATTTGTGCCAGGCAAAAAAAAAGCTTTTCATTAACCAGCCAGTCCCCCATCTTTAGCAACCTCACTCCACCCCCATCCAACCCTTTAACCACTCACCACGTGCTGCACCGTCGCCCCATCCACCCTCAAGGGAGCCACGTTCGTTCCAACTGTTGAGAGTGGAACCAACAGAGCAGAGAGACTCTTGAGAAGCCAACTGATAAACCCTGAACTCCCCTCATCCATTCACCAGATCTTTCCACCACCCACACCCCACACCCCTCACAGCTCACCACGCGCTGCACCGTCTCCCCATCCACCCTCAAGAGAGCCGCCTCCGTTCCCAGCAGCACCGCCACCTGGGACGCGCTGACGTCATCCGATGACGTCATCACGGGCTCCAGCACAGCCATGCAGGCGGGCGGTTCAGAGAGGCCCGGATCCGCCAGGGGGAAGACCTCTGGTTCCTGTTGGGGGGGAAGTGTGGGGGGGTTAGTGGTTGGGGAACGAAAAGGGGGAAGGTGGCTTGACACTGTCAATGGCTCTGAGAGTCCTGGGTCCGCCAGGGGGAAGACCTCTGGTTCCTGTTGGGGGGTTAAGTGTGGGGGGGGTAGTGGTTGGGGAACGAAAAGGGGGAAGGTGGCTTGACACTGTCAATGGCTCTGAGAGGCCTGGGTCCGCCAGGGGGAAGACCTCTGGTTCCTGTTGGGGGGGAAGTGTGGGGGGGGTAGTGGTTGGGGAACGAAAAGGGGGAAGGTGGCTTGACACTGTCAATGGCTCTGAGAGGCCTGGGTCCGCCAGGGGGAAGACCTCTGGCTCCTGCTAGGGGGGGAAATGGGGGGAATGGGGGGAAGGGGGAAAGGGGGAGGGGAGAGTGGGGTAGGGGAAAGGCATTAAAACCTGTCAGTGGCTCTGAGAAGCCTGGGTCCGCCTGGGGGAAGACCTCTGGGTATTTATTACAATCATATACCACTCACCCAGCTCTCCACTCCACTCACACCCGCATTTCGTTATACTCACATCAAAGTCCACCATTGCCAGCAGCTGACAACTCTCAGTCAAGCACACCACTCCCGCCGCCACACGCCCTCCCCCTCCGCTCCTCCCCCCTTCTTCTCCCCCTCCCCCATCCCTTGCCTCCCCCTCCGCGCCATCACCCCCCGTATCTCCCCCTTCCCTTCCTCCTCCTCTATCTCCTCCCCCTCGCATGCCGAATATATGAGCCTCCGTGATACCCTCTAGGTTGGTTGTGTGGAGGGGGATTCGAGGGAGAGTGCCCTTCCCATGCATGGAACACTGCAGGGTGAGGGGTGGAGGGGGAAGGGGGGGGAGGGGGACGAGAGAGCCTCTGTGATGCCCTCTAGGTTGGTCGTGTGGAGGGGGATTCGGGGGAGAGTACCCTTCCCATGCATTGAGCACTGCACGTACGTGTAGGGGTGGGTGAAACAAGGCTACGGCGCTGCTGCCGCGCACGGCGCGGCTGGCCTGGCCGGCCATGGCGACTAGGAAGAGGGCGGCGCCGTAGCGAGAATAAAGAAAGAAACGTTGCAGGGAGAGAAGCTAGGCAAAGGGAGAGGCCTAACTTCAGATTCGTCGACGAGAGAGTTGAGAAGAGATTCAAGAAGTAGAATAGAAAGTAGATCCAGGGATGATACAACAAGATCCTGAGAAGGAATATTTACGCTAGGAAGATAGAAGCGCGGCTCGTAAAGAAAGCCCGCGTCGCTACGCTTCTAGCATGGCATCTTGGCATAGCGCCTCGATGCCATGCCTTGCTGTACTATACTTCCTGACGGGGATACGGGAGTGTGCTCTAGGCTAGCAAGTGGTGTTGTTCGTAGCTACTAGGTATCAACCCTTCGGAAATTCCCATGCATCCCGCATGGTGAATTCCCGTCTTGTTACAGTGGGGCATTGGGGGACGGGGGGTGGGAGTGCGGAGAGTGACATTCCCATGCCATGGAACTCTGCTCGTTCGTGTGTGGAACAGAGAAAGGAGTAAAGGGCGAACTGAAGCTTCTGTCAAATCAACATTTATGCAAGACACACAAAGATTCCTTCGCTGTAATCTCACCTGGTGAACAGTGCCGTCTTCAAGCACCGTTACAAGCACCAGCCCTCCCACTGCATCCTCTCTCCACCCCAACCCCATCAGCCTCCCTCCCGGAGGCTCCCACAAAAACCGCGAAATCGGCCGTCCAGCTGCTGAGAACACTGATATGTACTGCCGAGCCTGCGCTGCCAAGCCTGCACTGCTGCCGCGCCTGGAAAGGTGGTTCGGGTCGCGGACGGTGGCGATTGGTCCACCGTAAGGCGCACAGGCGATCATGAGTTCTGATAGGTCCACGTCCTACGTGGGGAGGGAAGCGGGAAACGGAAAGAATCAGGATACACGGGTCAAAAGTTGACCATTTGGTCTGATAAGCCCTCCTTTAAGGCGGAAGTACTGGCGACTAACTTCGCATTTCACAGGAATCGGAAACCAGCTACTAAGTTTTCATATAGTAGACTGAATCCGGATGGCTGACGGTGTAGATGGACCGAAAGTGTCTACACGGATGCTGCTTATCGTCATGACGTTAACGGATTGGAATTAGCATCAACAAGCGGAAAACGTGGCCGTCTGTGTGTCCGAAGCGCTAGTTCTCGACACCGGAGGAAGGTGACACGTGTTCTTCACCTGCCATTGCAGGTCTGGCAGAGGCTGTACGCGATAGAAGCAGTTGGAGAGTTCCGTCCACTCCGCTGCATCAGACACAGCCATGGCTGCTGTGATCCCAGAGCGTGTTACTTCCGCTCGCACGCTATTTCTTCTCTCCTGCTTCTCCCGTTATTGACTCAATCACTACTTTGCGAAACACAAGCCATGTCACTAATCTTGCAGGTAATGCGTATGTATCATTACGGAACATGGAGGTTCAGTGAAATTGACTTGCTGTTTTGCGAGTGAAATATAATTCCTGCTAGCAGGTTCTTCGGTAAAGTGCAATCAGCTGAGGAAGAAGGATTCAGGAGCACAAGGAATCCAAAATGGAAAAAAATATAATCGCAAGGAAGCTGGAACAGATCACTCCGCACCAAGCTGAATCGTTTTGAGATGATATGTACCGTTGTGGAAAACGAATTTGGAGAAAGCACCAAAAGGTCAGCCAGTTCTTGCCTCGGGTTGCCAAACCTGATGCCATGGCAAGCTACGTTAGGCCTGGCCTGATCGAGCCTCGCCGTTGTGGTTTGGTAGCCCAGCAGCACCCCCCGCCAAGTTTTGGTGCGTTCGGTTCGGCGGGGTCACGAGACAATGAGTGTGTGAAGTGAATTCTGCGACAGCGTGAGTGTGTCAACCTGCCTGACATTTTGAAACATATCGGCCCTGTTCGATAGCACTTTGGGGCCCCCACGACGCAACCATTTGGTTTGGCTCTGTCGCCCAAATGGTTCAGCGTCGCGACAAAATGCAAGTGGTGGGACAGCGCCGGCATTGTAATCATTTTGGCCGACCCGAAGACGGCCGAGGTGGTCGAAAAGCTCCACCTCAACGGCCCTTTGAAGCGGACTGTTTCCAGCCGCGGGGTCTGCCCGGGGGTTCGACGGTCTACGTAAAAACAAAAGCCTCACCCAAATGTTTGTGCTGAAAATGTATAGAATATTCCAGATCGGTTCCAGCATTAGTTAGGTGTGTCGAAAGGATTTGTGGTGCAACTGGTTTATACCTTTTGTTTGGCGCGACTATCCCTAAATAGCCCATTGGTCTGGCATTGGGGCCACTTATTTGAAAAGTAACATTGGCAATGGTCTGGTAATGGTCTGAAATTTTACCAGGGATGGGCTGTAATGATTAGGCGACAATCACTTTTACTGCTAGCTGTGGTGTCAAACCACCCCGTTAAAATTCCCTCCATGTTTTAGCAGCTGGGCGGGAAACCAAGGACATCGCAGGGGGGTCGTTCGCGCTGGCGGGAATTATCAGTCGTCGCAGGGGGTCGCAAACCGTTTCCCGCCCAACCAACTGTGAAAATAAGGAAAACATGAATGAGAATGACTAAGTCAGAGTTGGGTACAAATACAACCCTAGAGCCCCTGTACCCCATATGTGCTACCCCACTATAGCCTACAGTAACTATGTCATATAAATCTGACACACCCCCATAGGCAAAGTGGGGGAGAACAAGGGGTCACAAGACCAGTCAAGCAAAGCAAAGCAAGCTCAGGGTGGATCACAAAGTCACCACACAGTCCGAGCACAAGAGTAGGGCCAGAGGCCAGTTCATATGCAGGAGAACAGACATATATATAAAACTAGACAAGCAAGAGCAGGCATACATATATGTCACAGTACAAGTGAAGTCAAGAGGAGAGCAAGTGAGGCAAGACAGGCACAAGACCCAGCTGGGTGCAAAAGCGCTGATGGTCACAAGGCGCGAGTGCCTTGGTGAACACATCAGCAGTGTTGGCCTCAGAGGCCACGAACGCAAGTCGCAACTGACCACGCTGCTGCAGCTCACGAGCAAGAAAGTAGCGGAGAGCAATGTGTTTCGTTCTGTGCTCCAAGCGCTGCTCTCGACACAAGGCCAGCATGGCCTTGTTGTCTACGTACAGCACTGGAGGAGAACGAGGCGGCTCTCCAAGGTCAGTCAGCAGGTAGGTGAGCCAGCGAAGCTCCTGTGCAGCCATGGCCCCGGCGTAGATCTCAGCCTCACAACTGGAGCCGAGAACCGAAGACGAGCGAGTAGACCGCCACGAGACAGAGCCGGAACCAAGGCTGAAGGTGTAACCCTGTGACGACCGCTGCGTAGCCTGGTCGTCAGCCCAAGAAGCGTCCGCGTGGCCGGTAAGGACCACTGGACTCCGCCCTCCAAGCACTAGCCCCATGCCCGACGTACTGCACAGGTAGCGCAATACCCTCTTCGCTGCAGCCATGTGCTCCGGTCTGTGTCTCCCAGGAGCAACATAGCGTGCAAGAATGCTCAGAGGGTATGCAAGGTCAGGTCGTGTGCAGGTCATCAGGTACATGAGGCAGCCAACAAGCTCTGCATACGGACCACTCGACTCTACGGACTCATCCGAAGGCAGAGCTGAGAGTGAGTGGCGAGTAGGCAGAGGAGTGGCCTGAGGCGAGGAGTACGTGAAGCCGAAACGCTGAAGGACCTGCTGCACCATGTGTGACTGAGTCAAGGTAATGGTGCGGCGTGCTCTGTCCCGAGTGATCTGCAGGCCAAAGTAGCTGCGCAGTTCACCCAGGTCTGTGCACGTGTGTCTCTTCAGCAGCTCGGACTTCACGTAGGCGAGTCCAGCAGTGTCCGCTGTGGCAAAGACCAAGTCGTCGACGTACACGAGGATGTAGAACGGCGGCAGGGAAGTGTCGGTGCGAAGAAACAGCGACGGGTCAGCAGTAGAAGGAGCAAGCCCAAGAGCCGCAAGCGTAGTCCTCAGTGTGTCGTGCCACTCACGCGGTGCCTGGCGGAGACCGTAGACTGGCCGTCGGAGGCTCCACTGGGTGCCAGGAGGGAAAGTCCCAGTGAAGCCAGGTGGACGGCGAAGCCAGATCTCCTCGTGCAGGCTACCCTGCAAGAACGCAGTGCTGAAGTCGAGAGAGTGAAGCTCGTAGTCGCGCGAAGCGGCTATGTGCAGCAGCACCCGAAGAGTAGTCATCTTCGGGGTGGGAGAGAAGGTCTGAAAGTAGTCAACTCCCTGCCGCTGACTGAAGCCACGAGCAACGTACCGTGCCTTGAAGACAGGTGGAGAGCCCGGCGGCCGCTTCACCCTGAAGATCCACATGCCACTGACGATGTTCGCCCCAGGAGGGGGAACCGCGTCAACGTAGGTGCCTGTGGACTTCCAGGAAGCCATCTCTGCATCCATAGCTGCCTGCCACTGAGAGGAGTAGGGACCCTCTACGGCCTCCGCGTAAGAACGCGGAGTCGGGATGTCTAGTGCATCCGGGTCTCCCTCAGAGGCAAGCAGTACAGACGCGAGATGAGGTGAAGCAGCCGCTAGACACTGTAAGTCCTCCTGCCTGTCCTCTAGGACGTCCGTGCTAAGAGCACACTCACCCCCGACGGATGGAGGACAGACAGACGCAGACTCAGCAACAAGACTAGCAGCGTAGTCGAGACGACAGCGAGCAGCAAAGTCGACGAGCTCAGCGACTAGAGCAGACGCAGCAGTGGACTCAAAAGAGGGGTCAGTGACGACAGTAGCAAGCAGACGCGTGACAGTAGGACTGGCAGCACGAAGAGAGTCCGACTCAGGGTCGGCAAGCGCAGGAAGAGAGGACTCAGGAGGAGAAGGCAAAGGGGCACGCAGAGGAGCAGTGGACGGACGCAAAGACATCCGGTGCGTGCCAGGGACAGGAGGAGGACGCTGACGCGAACTGCGACCACTAGTGCGAGCAGCACGAACAGGCGACGCGGGACGAGACGCAGGCTCACGACGCTCAGCAAGACCTCCAGTAGGACCAGTGTAAGGAGAGGGAGCAGGCAGTGGAGAGGAAGGCTCCAGCAGGGACTGCGACTGGACAGGCGGTGGACCCTCTACCGGAGGAGAAAGACCAAGAACCTGCTGCAAGAGCGGAACGAAGTACGGCCGAGGCCGCACGGCAGCTCCAGACGCAGCAGGGTCTGCACCAGCACCCTCAGCGACAGCACCAGCGCCACCCACACCTCCAGCGGCAGGACCAACAGCAGTAGGCTCAGCACCAGCGCCCTCAGCAGCTCCAGCTCGAGGAGGACCCGCAGGTCCAGCAGCTCCGGGACCGGCAGCACCCGCACCCACGACGGTCGAAGAAGCTCCAGCTCCAGCTCCAGCAGCACCTCCAGACTCAGCAGTACGCCTCCAGCGGCGAGCGAACCACTCGCGCAGCTCCTGTGGAGAGAGGGGCTCCCGGCGAGACGCAGCAGCAGGAGAAACCCCAGGCTCAGCAGCTCCAGACGCAGCACCCCCAGGCTCAGCAGCTCCCAGCTCAGCACCTCCAGGCTCAGTAGCTCCCGACCCAGCACCCCCAGACCCCGCACCCCCAGGCACAGCACCCCCCGGCTCAGCACCCCCAGGCTCCGCACCCTCCGCAGTAGCACCCTCAGGCCCAGCACCCCCAGCAGTAGCACCCCCAGGCTCAGCACCCCCGCGAACAGCACCCCAAGAGTCAGCACCCCCAGGCTCAGCACCCGCAGCAGCACCAGAGTCACCAATAACCTCGACCGGGTCAACGGCGTCTACCTGGGACACACCTGAGGGGGCAGGAACCTGAGGGGGGAGGGGGTCTACCGGGGGGGGAACTGGTACAAGGAAGTCCGGGGGAGGGGGGAGGGAAGGAGTGCGGTAGGGGAAGAGACGGTAGAAGGGGACTGACTCGTCGAACGTGACGTCCTGGGAGGACAGAACACGACGACAGGAGGGGTGGTAAAACTGCCACCCTGGGGCGTCAGTGGGGAAGCCAAGGAAGACACAGGGAGCAGCACGAGGGGACAGCTTGTCCGCAGACAAGTCGCGGACAAACGCCCGAGATCCCCAGACACGGAACACAGACGCATCGCCAACCTTCCCCGTCCACAGCAAGGCTGGGGACATCGCAGGCCGAGAGACCCGGGGGTGAAGGTTGAGCTGATGCGCCGCGTACCTCACTGCAAACGGCCACAGAAAATGGGGGGCAGCCGCATGCATCATGGACGTACGAGCGACATCCATGACCATGCCAATGCGGCGCTCAGCAATCCCATTTTGCTGTGGTGAGTCCGGAAGCGTGAAGGTCTGGCGGATCCCCCGTGCACGACA